ACAATGTCAGGCTATGCATCAGAATAGGATCAACGGAAAGCAGTAACATGCTACACTACTCTAATGCAAGCAGTATAGAGGAGAATAGGCGATATCTGGTGATCAAGGGGGGGGGGGCTTGCCTGGTTGCTCTGGCAAGAAGGACGAGTCACCAACACCGTAGTCGAACTGGGGGTCGCCGGCAGTCTCGGGGTCTATCGGAAAGAAGTAACGGAGAGGGAACACAATAAATAACAGAGCAATCAAAGCATCACAAAGCGTAACAAGACAATACGCGGTGTTTGGTGTGCCCTAACGCGGTAGTAGGTGATACCGGTGAAGGGGGGAAACATCCGGGAAAGTATCCCCGGTGTTTCACGTTTTTGGATAGATGAACCGGAGGGGGAAAGTTGCGAGTTCGATAGGTTACGGATGTGTGGCGGACGAACGGGTTGTGTATCCGGATTCGTCTCGTCGTTTTGGGCAACTTTGATGTTGAAAATAATTTAATCTGAGTTACGGATTAAAAGTTATGATTTTCTAAAGATTTTATGAATTTCTTGAATTTAATTAATTATTTAAATTAATTCGAAAAATGGATTAATGACATCAGCATGAGGTCATGCTGACGTCAGCAGTCAACAGAGTTGACTGATCAACCTGACATGTGGGTCCTGCATGCCATAGGCTAAGACTAACTAATCAAGTTTAGTTAGTCTAACTAAATGATTAGGTTAATCTAAACATAATTAATTAAGTTAATTAATTAAGTAAATAATTAATTAAATAATTCAATTATTATTAATTTTATTTTATATATTAATTTTCTTATGTTTTTTTAAACGTTCTGGGGCGTGGGTGTGGGACCCCACATGTCATTGGCCTAAGTGCCTTAGCGGGCGCACGGTTACGGGCGCCGGGTGGGTCGGGCGACGAGCGCCAGCCCGACGAGGCGCCGCGGGGCAACGGGCGTGCGGCCTGGCTCCGACGACCGGAGCAGGGCGACGCGGTTGGCTGAGAGGATCGCCGCAGCGGACGGCGGACGTAGCGGGAGTGGGATGAGGCGTCGGACGACGACGGCGCCCCGGGCGGACGCGGCCAGGAGCCGCAGGGCGGAGACGGCGGTGGGAGTCGGCAGCAGGGGTGACGGGCGTCGTGGCTACGGCTGGATGGCGCGGGTCGCGCGCGCGGGGGCGCACGGGAGCGCGTGGGCGCGCGCTGGGTCGGGCGGGGGCGAACGGGGTGCGGGCACGGTGACGTGCAACAGAGAGGGGGAGAAGAGAAGAGGGAGGCCGTGGCCTCACCGGCGTTGCAGAGAAGAGGGTCGGCGAGGCTCGGTGGAGCCTTTGGGGAGGAGGACGGGGATGACGGCGACGTAGAGGAGGAGGTCCGGCGAGGAGGAGTCGAAGAGGAGGACGGCAGGGCCGCTCCGTGAGGCAGCTCCGACGATGGCGGGGTCCAGCGGCGTCGAGGTCGTGCCGGGGCTCGGGGAAGACGGGCGCGGTGCCGGAGGGTGAGGAAGAAGGCCGGGAGGGGGCGGCGAGGACGAGGCGTTCGGCGAGGATGAGGCGTTCGGGGCCGGGCGGCACCGGTGAGGTGGCGTCGCAGGGGAGGACGGAGGCGGGGCGGGGCGGCAACGGGCGGCGGGGCGGGGCGCGCTGGGGTCGCGCAGGGCGAGCGATGGGTGGATCCCTGATCCAGATCGGGGGGAAGTGGG